ACAGAATACAAGAACATGGTGCTGGATTGTCGAACAATGGCGGAAGGCCTTGTGAGTATCTCTTTTTTTTAGCTGGCACCTAGCGACTACGAAGACTGCGACATCTTTGCTAAACGCCAACATGCCCATGACCCCATAACCACGTTCAAACCATGTCTGCAACCGTATTCGGAGAAAGTACCTGAACCATATCAAGACCAGATTTGTTTGTAGCAAAATATTGGCGCATACGCATCTGTGCCAGGTCTGGTTTCCACAACTCTAAAGACTTGAGCAAGACGAAGATTTCAATCCAGCATGGCTGCTGCGGGGAGCTACGACACGCAGAGCTAAAACCCAAGGACTTAAAGTCATGAAACTACACAGCTGCAGCAGCCGTACAAACTTTCAGCAAAGAGGGGTGTATATTTGGTGCGGGGTTGAGCATGGGCGAACTTTTGGAACCTTCCTCATGCATACTACCAATCCTATCAACAAGACTACAGCCAGCGCAATCCTGAAGCCTTGTTATCGCTGTCACGCTACATCCGGTCATACGTATCTCTTCCAGCACATGCACAAAGACAGTACAAAGGCTTACCAACGCAAGTAGTGGTAACTTGCCATCAGTAACATTGGTTTAAGGGGAATTGATCTTGACCGAACCATGAACCATAACAACCAGCGTATATCTCGGGCACATTTTTCCGTCCGGCGAACCCGACTTCATCTTTGGGAGTTGGGGTTCGCGGCTCGCGCTGCTCAAGCGGCGATCCCAAGGAGCAGTAGGCCGACGAAGACTCCGAGGAAGGCCAGGGCTAAGCCTGGTGTGGGTCAAGAGGCGAAGGCTCTGGGCGATGAACTTGTAACTCAGGCAACTCAGACATGCTGCCGTGCTAAGCCAGGGCCCGATCAAATCCCTGCTATCCGACTCAAAAAAGATGAATTCCTGCATGTAATCCTTGAGCCCGGTGAGGAGCTGAACAAGGAAGATGGTTGCACGACTTGTCTGACACGAACACAATAATAAGTAGCAGGCATGGCTGTTTCGGCTTTGCTGATGGCCAAGAGATCGGAGGAAACAAGCCACCAATCAAAGTCAGACACTGGCTGTTCGTAGCCAACGGCTTAACACAGCATCAACAATCCCTCCGCAACTCAAGGCCGACTGCCAAGGCGGCAGCATTTCTTGTTGTGCAGCCCTTCCGCCTGCACAAAGATTCGCATCATAAAACAAAACATTGATAAATGTACGTAGTAATAACAAATATGTATGTATGCATGCATGCATGTATGTATGTATGCATGTATGTATGTATACAAACATGAACATATATATATATATATATACATCTACATATATACAT